CAACCATGATAAGCATTAGCAGAATTCGTTACAGAATCGCAAAAGGCTGGAATAAACGTCTATGAAACCATCCACCAACTGCATTACAATTACAACTTAGTTAAAAGACAGAACATTACCATTCACCAAGACCATTACACACTAACACTTGAATTCTAAACCAAGGATTAAATTAAACAGCCTACGCTACACTAACTATGATAAAGTCAACTTGATGAGAAGACAGGCCATACGAACTGAGAATTCAGAGGGAAAGCTGGTTCATTCTTTGGAGGTCTTGTTGATGAGGGACTTGTGAATATGAGGGATGACACCCCCACCAGCAATGGTGCCCTTAATAAGGGTATCAAGTTCCTCGTCTCCTCTGATAGCAAGCTGCAGATGCCTGGGTGTGATCCTCTTCACTTTCAGATCTTTGCTTGCATTTCCAGCAAGCTCAAGAACCTCAGCTGTCAGGTATTCAAGATGGAGGCCAAGTAAACTGCAGCTGTTGCCCCAACACGCCCATTCGCTTGGATCCTTTGTTTCAGCTGTCTATGGATACGACCCACAGGAACTACGCCATGCCACCCAATATGCATGGAATCAGATAAAACTAGTAAACAAGAGAAAATCCGAAAAAAAAAATTGCTGGAAATAAGTAACCCAGACGGAAGCTAAGAAATTTGCCCCCCCCCCCGAACTAAAAAAACAAATGTTGTTTCATTGTTTTACTAGCATTGTGTACCTCATAACTTATTTTCTGGTCTTAATTTTTTACTCAAACGAAGAAACAGTCGAATATAGTACTTTATTGTGGCAAGAAAAATAACTAACAAAAAAGCAGAGGTGGGACAAATCCATGAATTCCATAATATCTTACGAAGATAATAACAAGAAGAGTGCAGGCCAGCGAAATAGGACAATGCGCTTAAAGCCAAGGACAAACAGTTAAAAGTATCCAAAAATTCCAGCTAACGTGAATAAGTTGGTAACATCAGCCGAAGAGGGTGGTGGCTTACCTGGATTCCGGCACGGGATGACCTCGAAACAGGCCTTTTCTTATCCTTATCTTTGTCCTTGTTAGCAGTCGTGGTTTTTGCAGCCAAAAGTCCCTTCCCTCCTTTTCCCGCCATTTTCTAAATATTGAACGCATGATTAAGTATTTCATAAATCGAAACGAGGGGAACACATACAGATCTATAGAATAGAACAAACAGATGAACAAAAGAAAACGTCAATTTCTTCCTCAGAACATGGCAAAGACATTTCGGGGAAATCCGGAACAAAACAAGAAAGACAGTTAGATAGATAGTTTGTATGACGCGTTTGGACATAACCAGGAGTAGTTCAGCACCTATGATAGAGAGATCGAACACAAAGAAGGTCGATGAGGAAAAAAGAAGCGAGGAATTGGGGGTCTAGTTTAACATTTTTGTGAGACCAAAGGAGAAATCTTGATGCCAGAAACAGATGAAGAAATGCAGTTCCAACTTCAAATCCACATGACAGAGAGAAAAGAATCTTAAAAGCGAGCATCAAAATGAAATCTCGAACATCATGGCCTGAAACAAGAGGTCCCATGCCGGAAGAGAAATTACCTGATAGTAAAGAGAGCCAAAAGCCAAAGAAGCGAGAAGAGCGGTTGGGCAGTCGATAGCAATAGGACGCCAAATGCCAGATGGGGATGGACGGGACAGATGCTAATGGCCTAATATGATTCAAATGTTTTGAATCCACCAAATCAATGGAAATGGCGGTCAATCTTGCGTGGGAAAAATTTTCCCCATTTTCCGATTCCAATTTCGAAAACGTGTGAAACCAAGCAACGCGGGCCCATCAGGCCCATCTTCCAAATGGGTTTACACTGCTCCTAAAGCCCAAATTTAAGGATAAGGTTTTGATTGGCTGCACAGCTTCCTGAAGCCGCGAACTTTCAGTTCTCTTCACTCCCACGGAAAATGAAGAGTGGCAAACAATTATCCCAGTAGGTAAGAGCTGATTGGAAGCCATGACTAGGACTTTATTTTCTCCGAATTCAAGTATAATCAGCGCTTCTAGTTGTGGAACACAATGTTTATCATCCCAACACACAACGTTGTTGGGTGTTCCTCGACAAAAGATATTTTTGGGAACTAGAATTCAGAACCGTCGTGTGTTTGGGGAGAAGGAATCGTCGAATAGAATTGTGGTGGTGAGTGTGACCCGAGGCTCTGCAGATTCAAGCAAGTCAGAAGAAACAATCCCTTCGTGGGCTAAACCAGATTCAGATGAACCTCCACCTTGGGCTCGGGACGAAGCCAACAATAATGCTTCCCAGCAAGCGTTTGTCATCCCCTTCTATGTTTATTTACTCGCGTCTGCTATTACCGCCATTGCCGCCGTAAGCTTTTGCATTTAGTAGCATATGTCTTTCCGTCCTTGTCCTTTTCCTTTGTTATGTGGTTCTCGTTGGTTAATTTGCTTGATATCTTATGGCAGATTGGTTCCATATTCGAGTACGTGAACCAAAGGCCAGTTTTCGGAGTTCTGAGCTCCGACAGTATATTTTATGCTCCCTTGCTTGGATTCTTTGCATTTACTGGCATTCCCTTCTCGGTGAGTACTTTAATAATTTACTTGATCATAATTATCTCTCTCTTATATATTTCATTAATTTATTGATTAATTAGAGACTTGGCTAATTCTTTTTATCAAATCATCACTCTCAACTTAATCTGGCCACTGCTGGGTTGAATTCAAAACGAATTGTAAATTGGTGATTTTATTTTTAAATGTGGAGACCATTAGTTGAGAATGAGCCAGCTAATTGAAGTTGATGTTGAAAACAGGGATTTTTGTGGTTCAAGTCCGTTCAAGCTGCTAACAAGGAAGCTGAGGAACAAGACAGGAGGGATGGGTACTCATAGAGATGGGGTCTCAGGATCCGCTCATTCGATCGCTTTGCTGCCCACCTGATCGACACCTTCTCTTCAGTTCTTCACTTTCTTATGTTTTGTGAAATCGTGTCAATATAGTACAAAGTGGAAGAGTATTGATTAACTTGATATGAGAAATCATCAAGTCATAACATAAAACGCCAGAGATCAAATTGCTTCTAATGTGATAAGATGCCGTACTTCTGAAACAAAACACACATCATCGACGGCATTTAGAGACCCATATTCGGCTATCTCAAATTACCAGCTACGGGCTTTTCTCACGAACCTTTGTTGTGAGTTGTGACCCATCTTGCCTTGGTGCCCTGCTTTTTTAAACTCTTGCTGATAGCATTTATCAAGTAGATGCCTTCTCTGCACTTTATCAATCATACTAACAAATGAATTTCGTACCGGAGATTTTAAGGGTTTTATCGCATCAATCAAGTTATATTAGGAAATACTGTATTCTATTACTGATTTTTACTCGTTTATTGGTTATTGATGTGATTCGTAAATGACGCAAGAGTACTTCAATGCAATAGTTGATTCTGGAAGTGGTGATAGTACAGCTGATATTTTAAGTGACAGTACAGCTGATATTTTAAAGAGTTAATAATCTTTCTATTGTTGCTTCAATTCAACGTCAAAGTATCAACAAGTGAAGTTCAACTTCGAATCAGATCTCTTTCATTCCTCATTTTCCTTCCCCAGCACACATTTGACACCCAAAAAAATGACATGTTTAATTCAATTGCATGAATTAGGATTACAAGCAACACCGAGACATTTTACTGATTCATGGAATTTGATTGGCACATTTAGGTAATCTAATGTTGGCCGGTGCATAACAGATTATGTAATCCCCGTTATATAACTTTAGGTGTGTTATCCGTATTCATGCTCCCATGAATCAATATTTGGACATCTATACCCTTGATAAATAAATATTTGGATATCTTTCACCCTCTATTTTTGCCTTACAATGAATGAGTAAAAATATCATTTCACGTTTATTTTTAATTTTTCCTAGATAATATACAAATTTCATTCCATGATTCCCTTTTGGTTAAAAAAAAAAAATTATACGATTCCTTAATGGCATATGCCGAACAAATATTCTATAATTGTCATTCCATTACACAACATTCTCTGCTACTAAATTCCATTACTTTCTCTGGGATTATTTAAACCAAATGGGCACTGACGTGTGACATAAAGGATTTGAATGAAAATCAATTGGACCATAGGTGCTATGAAACAATTTAATATTTTGGGGGCCCATATCTTCACTGTGTTTTTGGCACTTCCTTCAAGACATGAAAGATCTTATAGTGGTGGTCCGCTTCTGCTAAAATCCATCGCCACTTCTTTTACTGCCCACAACCTTAATCCTTCTTATATTTTCATGTTTCATGTAGCTCGAGCCGAAAATCGCAGTATGCGTCGACGTATAACGGACCTCCGAAAAGCCCAAGCTGTGATGCGAACCAGGGTCGAGTATTTTTGTCTTGTCAAAATGGTTTCATGCTGTAAAAGAATTTTTAAAAAGCTTGAGCTATTTAAACTCTATTCATCTCTGTAAAGTAGATTTTAACGTGATTTAGATAAAAATTTAATTAATTTAATTTAAAAGATGAAAATGTAATAATTAAGCTGAAGAATTAGAGAAAATAGATTTAACATTCAGAAACTGACAAGTGAACAGGAATAGAGAGAAAATAATAAAAAGGTGCCTAGAACTGGAATCTGAAACAGAAAACAAATACAATAACCACCGACTGACCGACTGTGAGTGCATTTGCATCACTCGTCCAGAGTCCAGACGCCAGAATCCAAAACCAGCATTCATTTGGAAAAAGAAAAATCCGAAAACCAGCACAATCGACAATTTTGACAATGATGGCAGGCTAGGACCCATGACGTGTGCTCAAGGAACAGTTTAGTTCAAAGGTTGTCCCGCCAAATGTCCGCGTGTTTATTTATTTTTATTATTTATCTTTCACAGCACTTGAGGTGATACCTGAGGGGTTCTCAAGGGCTGATCTTTATGGGTTTGGTACTTAAAATTATTTATTTTTAATTTATTTTTTACATTTGGCCTTTATATAAAAGATTTAAGGTCTGATCCGGAAACCTATTAAAAAAAAAAAAAATTTAAATAAAATTAAATATTATAAATTAATAAAAATATTCTGAAACTAAAAAAATTAAAATTCACAGAATATTTTAAAAATTAAACAATATATTTAAAAATATAAACAATACACATTCATCAATGAAAATTCAAATCCTCTTCATTTACAAATAAAATATTAGATCCCTCGAATGTAAGTGTACTTGTTAGAGATAGAAGTGAAAATTTAATGTCAATTACCTTTACAACTTCTTCTTCATCATCTATAATAAATATTAATTAAATTATGTAATTAATATATGTGTGTGTAATAATCAAGCTTATCAAGGTTTAAAAGGCTGCTCAGGTTCAAGCTCTTTTTTATAAGGTCAGGCCTTCAAATCCAATTTTTTAAAAAAAAATAATTTTTAAAGCTTGAATATTTATTTAAATAAAACCTATAAGATTAGCTCCTTAAACCGGCTCTTATTTTCTACTTTACATGATGTTAAGGCTTATCTCTGCTTGAGCATACTGCGCACACAATAACCTGATAAATTTCAAAACGGTGGTCCAGAACCTTCAGTGGATCTAAGACCTTTTCGACAATTATCTATTGTTTCGCCTTAAAAAAAAAAAAAAGTAAAAATAAGATTTCAGCTAACAAGCCACGCTGTGCACTCACTAGTCATTACTGTGATGTGTTATATTTGGAACATCCTTTCAAAAGTATATTAGAAACACAAGAAAGTCAGTTATAAGTCCCCATCGCTTTTATTAGTTGATCTTTGATATCGCCTAACATCAGTTCCCAACTCTTTCTCTTGTTGCGATCGATGGAGCGAAAAATGCGTCAAATGTTCCTGTTGCCTTTCCCCGGATGAGGCACGTCTAAATTCTCTATGAAGTATCTTTTTTATTGTTGTTTGTAGATGTCTCTTAACCAGTAACAACTATGTTTGAAACACATTCATACCTCACATTACATGTAGGTATTTCTTCTAATAAAAATTCAATCTCTAGTTCACTGTGAGTGTGTTTGGGTTTCCATGGGTAAAAATTAATCATAGAAAAAATTGATTAACAACACATGATGATGTTTAGATAATATTTTCAAAAATTGATTTTGATAATTGAATATTTGGATAATTATTCAGATTCAATTATAAATATAAGGGAACAAATAAAAAAACGGTCAAATGCTAAGAATTGATTTTCAAGTGGAAAAAAAAAACTTATATTAAAGGGAGTTTTACAAGACAAATGAAATTTGAAAAAATTGAACGTGTTTGGATAAAATTTTTTAAAATCATAATTTTAGACCTAAAGTTGATTCTGAACATGTATCTAAAGAGGTCCTATATCGTAATGAACTAGCACATTTTGGAAGATGCAAGCCCATTGGCTAGAGCACTCCTTTTCATTTCTCCTATCCCTCTCTTTTAAGGTTGCAGCGCACTTATGTTAATTTTTTTTTTAAAAAAAGAATAACTAATATGTCTAGATTTTCTTCAAATTTCTCTATCGATACCATAAGTTACTATATAGATTGGCTTCACGATTAACCCTCTCATTTTTATAAGTAAAGTTCGTGAAGATAAGGGTATGGATGTTAAGAGTATGATCCTAGAACTATACAAAAGCGATGTTAAGGAGAATGATGGGGGAAAGGGTTAAAGAGATTAGGAGAAATGGATGGAGATTAAACCAAGTGGGCTGTTGCCAGCTGGATGAAGAGGAAAAAAATCAGTGAATGAGTTGATGTCTGTAGGGCTCATAGGTCTTGATATGCTATTTATCCGCCTATTGTCCCGATATTGTTATATCTTTGTCGCCACCGGCCCACCGGGTCCGCCCACGAGGATATCGCCGGGCCCTCTACATTAATTCAGTCATCTTAATCACGACGTAACTGCCACAATTAATAAGCCAAGCAGATCCCCGCTGAGTCCCTCCAGGGCAAATTTTCCCCACCTTCTTTTCGTCATCTTATCTCCACGCTTCGATGATCAGGTAAGGTACAGACTAATCGGAATCCTGCTATATGTGATTGTTATTATTAAAAATGGCTTTATAAATATTTTAAAAATACTTTTATCATATTTATTTAACGAGGCTTTATATTTTAAAAATTTAAACTTGAGACTACAAAATAGGCTAATTTAACCAAATATTACTCAATAAAATAAATAAATAATTTTAAACTATTAAAATTTAACTTGTATTAAAATAAAAAAATGAAAAGATTTAACAATGATATATGAACTGTGCATGTTAAACTTTTAACTTTTTGAATTTATTTTTTCATATAATAATTATTTCATAAAACAATTAAATTTTTTGGTAAAAAAATAATTAAATTTGGACCATTCGATCTAGGTGAGATGAGAAGGGAGAAAAAAAGGAGAGAATTATGAGAAGATCCGGACCCATCAATAAGTCAACAGAGAAGAAGGCCCATTAAAAGCAATAGAGGTCAAGAGGTATTAAAATTAACAAGTAATAATTATCAACTGCGAGTGGGCACTGTGATCGTACTATTTATTTTTTTTTAATTTTTTTGCCATTTGAACTGTTAACACGAGCATCTGTAAAAGTAAAGAAGAGTGAGTTGATGGGCATATTGGCGTGGTCATGTAAGGGAGCGTGACTGCGTGAGGTTGAGGATAAAGACCCCTATAATTGGAAGAAGCAAAGGATGGACCAGAAAGATGTAATGCTACAACTACCATTTCAATGGCTAATTCGATTTTGCCATATATTTTCATTCAATAGTATCTTTCTTCAACTGTGGGTCAGACAAGATAGACTCATGGAGGCGACATGAATGAACGACCGCGTGCGCTGTTTTTGTCAGGACTTGGCGACCTACGTTTGTGTGTGGAGAGAATTGGACCATAAGCATGGGCCTCGATTATTTGTTTTGGGCCTCACATTCTTTGCCGTGGGCTCCTCCTCCAATACGACTGCCCCCCGTGGGGCCCTCTCCTTTATTCACCCCCATCAACCTCTCCCAAGCCTCACTGCCTTTCTCCCTGCGTCCTAATCCTCCCTATTTTCTTCCGCTCACACTATACTTTACACCTTATACTACACCAGTAAATATGTCTTCTAGTTTACCTTCACGTTATATAAATTGCATTACTTTATCTTTTTTGGGGGGAAAATCATCATAAATATCATATTCTATATTAATTTATAATAAATAAATCGAGTGAAAAATATGGATAATCACATTTATACCTTCATCCTCTAGTTTTGTATTTTTTTTCCAGTTAAATTCTGGTTTAAAAAAGTAATATCACTGCTCACGGATGTGCGACCCCGAGACGATGACTCTGGGTCACCCCATCAAACTGAAAGACAGGACGTTGGAGCAGGGCCCATATCGGGGGGAGCATTTTTTTTTTTTTTCCAACCTCCCGAACCAAGTAATCGAACGGGCGAGGACAAGGTATTTGGTTGGCACTCGACACTCGTGGCACCATCGCATGATCTGAGTTTGAGGGAGGCTCAAAGGGCAAAACTGAACGGGCAATAGTTTTGAACGTTTCCTCCCTTAATTTTCATAAATCGGAAAAAGAACTACTTTGGGAAAAGCGAAGTGGATTAGTTTCCAAGAATAGCTCCGCGCTCTCGAGTAGCAGGGACCCCACCTCCGGTTCGGTACCCAAAATTTCACACAATATCCACTTTGCAAACTGCCAACTACAAGTGCGAAAGCCCCTGCCATCCCCTCCCCTACCCGCACTTATCCCATATCTGCGTGGCCCCACCACCACTTATCTCATTTCCATTTTTATCCTCCTCCTTTCACCCTATTTACAATCGTGACAACCCCCTTCCCCTCCTCATGCAACTTTCACTTCAAGGTGTATCAATTTTTCAACCTCCCCAACATCATTCCGCAAGATTCTTAAACTGTTAGACATGACAAAGACACTGAACCAACCAACCGGACGATGTCCTGTGTCCCCAGGGGCATTTTCGTCTAACCAGCCCCTTATCTAACCACCGTTTCTTCTCTTCCGTCTTCAAACACCCCCATCATTTCCAATGTAACTAGACTGTGCATTGCACGTTATCTTCCCGCTCTGGACGCTGCAACTTGACCCATTTGCCCTCCTGCTTCCGGATTCCTCTTCCCTAACGACCGGGGCATTCTAGTCACACGAACCACACCTCGGGCTTAAAACCCCCAAAAAGGGCGTGCCATTTTTGTTCTTTCCAGCCCATGCCCCCATCGTGAACCCCCCAAGTCGTCCGCATCACCCACGCCTCAGGTGTTCCTGTACGACAGGGGCAGTTTCGGTTATCTATATTGCAGGTCACAACTCACAGCCTTTGTGGCGCCACCTGCTATCGACACGTACTACCATACCCTGGGTCTTGGAATCTGCCACGTAGGATTCACCCGTGGCCACTTCGCCTGCTCATGCTTTTCCCACTCTTCGCCTGTTCGTTCCCTTCAAATACTCCACGCCCGCTGATCGGTTCCTTATCTTCGCCTTGCAAACAAGCATCCCCGCACCCGGACAAAACTGACGCTCACGTTTCCATGTCCGGTGACTCGTCGGACGTTACCTTTGGCGAGTTCGCGGAAATGGAGGACCTTCACGTCGCTTTTTCCCCTGATTTTCTGAGGATTCGCCTGACTTAATGCCGTCGCTTATTTCGGAGTTCTTGCCGTGTTTGGTAGAAGAACTAAGCAAAAGCGACTTTACTTGGCAGAGTTTTCAAGTTATTCCGAGCCATCTCCTGCAAAACCGAGGTCTATTAAAACTATATAATAATCGGAGAAGTTAAAAGGGAACTGTTCTAGTTTGTGCGTCCCGAGTTGCCTATGCGGTGCATTGATTTTTTTTTTTTTTTGGTTCCTGTTGATTTTCTGTGAATGATTTGGTTTAGCTCTTCGTCCTAAAATTTTGAACTAGTATGCGGAGAATCGAGGTAGTTTTACTGTGTTTGAGAGATTCGATTAGCTTTTGGTAGTTGTGTAATTTGACTCCCGAGTAATTGAAAATTCAGTTCGGGGTTTGCAAATGGAATAGTGGAATTCAGAGACTCTAAGACTCTCGAGTCATGCCAATGAAAATTCAGCCGATCGATCCTCAGATACATGCAGAGGGGACTAGGCCTGAGCAGGCTAAGCCCATCGTCAAATCGCGATTGAAGAGACTCTTTGAGCGCCAGTTCCACGGTGTTCTGAGAAATTCTGCGGCAGAAAAGGTCGGCGGCGAGGAGCTGCATTCGGCTAAAGATGTGCTAAACGATTCCAATGATTTTGAACCGAGTTCGGTGTGTTTGGCGAAGATGGTGCAGAATTTCATCGAGGAAAATCAAGAGAAGCAATCCTCTCTCGTCAGGTGTGGACGAAACCGCTGCAACTGCTTCCATGGAAACGGTGATGACAGCTCTGACGATGAATCCGACGTATTCGGTGGTTTTGGTGACTCCAACTATTCTTTGACTGCAGAAGCGGTTGAAATTCTGAAGGTAACGAGTTTCTTTAGAGATTAAATTTAGAACCTGGTTTCTTGTTTTAAGAAAGAGACCGTTTATGTTTGTGAACAATTTTTTTTATTTTTAAATGGCTTTCCTTATTTAATTTGGATAGGGTCTGGTGGCTTGTGCAAGTGTGTGTGAAAGGAATTTGCTAGCGGACACTGCTAAGATAGTCGAGAAGAATAAGATTTGCAAGCGTAAAGACGATTTTTGCCGAAAGCTTGTAATTGATGGGTTGTTGGCTATCGGATATGACGCGTCAATCTGCAAATCTCGCTGGGAAAATTCTCCCTTCTGTCCTGCCGGTACTCTCTCACTTCAGTACTAGTCATCGTTTTCAATTTGGAAAATTTTTAGCTGTGTTTGATTACCGGGAAACTCGAATTCTGCTTTTCTTTTCTTTTGTATTTTTGGGTGGGTGGGAGGAGAATGTTAACCTAATACTGGAGAAAGTTCGATTCAGACGGGAAAAGTGTTTCTCTTGGTCTTGGGTATCATTTGATCCTGAGATTGAGACTGTGACATAAATCTCCGGTATTCACCAGGAACGAGTCGCGTTTTAAACAGCTTGTTCATTGAAGAAATTCAGTGAAATGAATAACAAATTGTCTTTCACATAGCTTATAGAATTCTACTGAATATCATATTATCCTACAGGTGAATATGAATACATTGATGTAATCGTCGAGGGCGAGCGGGTGCTTATAGACATTGATTTCAGATCAGAATTTGAAATTGCTCGATCAACGAAGACGTACAAGACGATTCTTCACACTCTGCCCTGCATTTACGTGGGCAAGTCCGATCGGTTGCAGAGCATAATAGGAATCGTATCGGAGGCCGCCAAACAGAGTCTGAAGAAGAAGGGCATGCACATCCCGCCATGGAGGAAAGCCGAATACGTTAAAGCAAAATGGCTCTCTCCTTACACGCGAACCACACCCACTAAGCTTGAGTCGCACGAAATGAAGGAAACATCGGAAAAGCATCCACCTTTAATTGGAAGCAGCGAGTTTGGGCAGAGTAACAGGGAAGGAAAATCTGCTGATGATGAGGAGTGTTGTGGTTCCGTGTTTTCTTTGTCTGAGGGTTCTGGGAAAGACGATAAGGCCACGGCAGAGACAGCTTGGAAACCTCCGGCGCTGAAGCCCAAGAGCATCCAGTCAGGGGCTAAGATCGTCACTGGCTTGGCAGCAGTCTTGGATAACCCTTAGAACCATGAACCATGAAGTTTTGTTTTTGTTTTTTTTTTTTTTTTTTTGGCTTTTCTCGGCGTCTTTTTGCCAAGATGAGAGCTCAAAATGATATAGATGTAACAGTTCTATCCCTTCTCTTTTTTATGTAAAGGGATGAATTTACTTTACTGATATGAATGAATTAAATAAAACTTGACATATGATTAGCAAAACCCATAATTCGATTCTTTGCTTACAGCTATAACTACGGGTTTTGCTGAGTTCCTGGCTTAAATTATATGTTAAAGACAAATATAGTCCATAGCGTAGGCTTATGGTCTTGCTTGATTTACTGTTATTTTTTTCTTCAAGAAGAAGGAAAATTGAGTTGACAAATAAAGATCGGAAAGAAAGGTGAGCAATGCTGTTTTAAAATTCGTAACAATGGCTTCCCTTGCCCAGAATCTAGATGCAGTGCAGTATTAGATCACAAAACTGCATCTCTAAAAATTAGTAGCATACGATACAAGTGTAAGTAACAATTAGCAATTAACGAGCATTATTCGTTGTTTGCGTGACGGTGCATATCTAATATTTTAGATACCAATTTGGCAGGTCGCTTCTACCACTAATCTCGTATTTATTCCCCACATCTCAAACACCGTCCTACTCCTACAACACGACAGGGTCTCTCTTCTTTTTCAAATGATCACTGTGACAGTTGTCTTGCTTTATACGCTCAAGCGATCATCATATCAAAAAAAAAAAAAAAAAGAAAAGAAAAGAAAGAGAGCAGCGCAATCTCCTGATCAAGTCTTAACATTTCTTCTCCCGTCGCATCATTATTGTTGTCATGATTATGGCAATAGAGAATTGAGATTTCCGTCGACGTTTCAGTCGAAACACTATGTGATGATGGTACCCACCCCTACGCTCTTAGTTTTTGGCTGGTGAGAAAAAACCGATGCTCTATGAGAGGCTGTGAGAACTACAGTTACTAAATTTCGACCCTTGGATCTTGGTTTTATCCGCCTGATCTTTTCCTCAGTTTCAAACAAACAGAGTGGGGTGCGTGTGCTGATGTAAACCATGTTTTGTCGTTTCCTCGCCTAGCCCCAAGTCCACAAATCCCACATAGCATGTTGGAAATTGCACATCTCTTTTTCATCCATTATTCTAGTCTGGTTTTATTTTATTTTTAAAGTCATTCAGTTGCACTCAATTCTGTGCCTTCGTCGTTAGTATTTAATTTTTTTAGCATTCTGTCGCTGTCCATTTTTATTTTTTATTTTTTAGTCCCAGTGCCCCTGACCTCATTCTATTTAATAATCCATGTTTAATGAATCCATAAAATATGGTCGCAGTACTTTTGAGTGTGGAAAGAAATTGAACTGTGAGATATCTGTGGAAACTCTGACGGTAAAGAAGAGATTGGCAGAAGGCACCGTTCACGAGGGTCTGTCCAGTTACCATATTGATATCAGTAGGAGTTACTATTCATTAACTGATTAATTATTTTTTTCCATCAGAAAAAAGGAAGCATTCTGAAAGGGGTCAGAGAAGTAATAATAGAGTTTGTTGGGGGTGATATTCTCTGGTGATATTCCTCTCGGAACTATAATTTACTTCAGGATGCTGACATCTTACCCACTTAATTTAACCCTACTTTTTTTTTGTTATTCACATTTTTAATTAAATTTTGCATCTCCCTACAATAATTATTTATCTCTAAATTAATATTATATTTTTATATTTATTTTTATTTAATAAAATATTTTATTTTAAAATTACATATATTAATAAATAATAAAGCTTGTGAACAATATTTTACAAACTTATTTTTTTAAAAAAATTATAAACTTTTTAAAATAATATTTATTTAATATAATTTTAAATCTACACACTTAATCATTACATTATAATAATTTTAATTGTTTTTATATTTAAAAGATAATATTAAAAAATATCATTCATAAAAATTTTTAAATTATATTATATTTTGGGATAATACAATACATTTAAAACTTTTATAATTTATGATGAAGAGAGTAGTTGTATACTCCTGTGAGTCATAATGCAGAGCATATATAACTACTTCATGATTATAGAAAAAAATTAGGTAAAATTTTAATCTTTTAAAGAATCGTATATCTTTTCAACTACACTTTTATTAAATATATTATATAACCTTAATGATGATAACTACATTTAAAATTTCAGTACATCATTTTTTAAAAAAATAATAAATAAAATAAAGATATAATTAAAACAACACTTATAAAAATTAGCTAATGTCAGCTTCAAACGATGTCTTATAATGAAGTTCCGAAGGAGTAATAATTTAGTTTTTTTTTTTCTTTTTACGTCAACATTGTATCGTTTGAGCAGCGACAAAATTTAAAATATTTTATTTAAGATATGTCAAGTAAAAATAAAATAAAATAATTGAATTAGTAATGTTTTATTTCAATGTGAGGAAAATGACAAAAGCATGAACTAACTGCTGTATACAGAGCAGGCACTCGCCCCCAGACACTCCTCACTGATATATTTGAGAAACAGATCAACCTAAATTTAGATTTTACTGTAACTTTATTGACTTTATTAAAAACTACGATTCGCAAGATTATGTGTTTGTGATTGCCACTATGTAACCCTTTTATCACGGTCGTCTGTTCGCTTAAAAACGAGGGGCAATAGTAATTTCGATAGGAGTTAATTCTATTGAAATGAGCTATGATCAGATTCAATATACAAAGGATCGAGTTTGAGTTCGTGTTTGCGTAATCATTATTTAAAAAAAAAAAATCTTTGAAAAAACTACTATTAATGAGTCCCGACTCCCGACAACGATGGGATATTTTTTGTAATTCACAGAGAGGACAATTTTATTATATATTAAAATCCTAATTGATCTTGGATGAATCTCAGTAATGCTAATTTCTCTCACATCTTTACATTAAAACATACCGAAGTGTCATCTTATTATATAGTCTTCATTTTGGTTGAAAACATACGATATTCTTAATTACTCTATAAAAATAAAAAAAATAGCTTAAAGTAGTTAGTTAATATTACTTTTTAATATTAGTAAGATTTTTAATACTATTAACGAGTAAAAAATATTCTATATTTTGTTACAAATAATATACTATGTATATATACTGGAGTTATATATATAACTAACTACTAAATCGCACTTCAAAGTTTAAAACAATCATTGCATGTGCAAGTTGTGATGGGAAGCATCGCCACCGGATTTAAGCATCGTTTACTTATAATAGCGTCACCTCATCGCCAAATTTGGCAAAACGTAAACCGATGAACAAATGACTTCATTTTCGTTTGTTTATTTATTCCCCTTTTTCCTTTTCCTTGTAATATATAGCTAGTTGAGATATTACTGAGAACGACCAATTAACAGTAGTTTTTTTCCCCCACTTTTTGTCACCTGTTTTTTACGCAAGCAAACTGTTGACAAGGATTTAGAAATCCATTTACAAAACAGACAAAGTCATTGCTCAAACCAGTGCTATCCAAATAGCTAATCTTTTGTCAAGTATGGTATTTCTTACTTAATTGCTCATTAAGTTGTATCTTGCACGCCTTAACTAGAGTTTAAATTTCCTAAGGGACTCAGCTTCCACGCATAAATCTTGCAGACTCTACAGCGCATTTCTTTACAGATATTCAACACTCGGAATTTATGAGATATTCGACATTATTTAGTTGTCGTTTAACACGGTTTTTTATCCAACAATTGATATGGCTAACCATTAAGTAAAAACCCTACTTACCTTTTCTGGCTAAAAGATATGTTTTGTCCCAATTTTGTCAATCATCAAAGACTAAATATTCTGCTCTCCTTTTATCCAAATATTGCTTTCGCTTTAAAGTGATCATTTACACTAATTAATTAACCAAATTGAATGTTGTGGTTTGAATATCAAATTACTCAAACAAGTCTACATTTAATAAGAGTCTGGAAACGCTTTATATAGAGCATTATTTTTATTTCAGTTTATCATAATTATTCAATAATATTTATTTCTAAACCTTTTTAAAGCCTGTGTTTGTCGTATTATTCTACTGAAGTAATGTAAATTGCCTCATCCCTCATGGTGTAGTCAATATATATATATAGGATTAATGCAATGATGGTTTTTAACACGAAAAATACTCGTTCGAATAGTTAAAATTATATTTATAATTTTGAGTGCCAATCCGTACGTTATGAGAACGATGAAGATTTGTAAATGAAAAAAGTATCATCAATTTACGAACGAAAAATATGATTAAGATGGGAAGAGTCAAGGAATTAAAATACAAACGATGAATCCACTTTAAGCTTTTTTTTTTTGGTCAGGATCCACTTTAAGCTTTAAGCATGTTGATTTGCATGGAGATCTGAGGAATGAAAAGACGAGCCCAGGGGAGGAATAACGTGCCTGAGAGTTCTATACTGGTAAAACTCTGTGTCGTGCCCAAACAAAACATGCGATTTTAAGCTTTAAGTGATCTTATCTTCAACCCTTGGCTTCCACCAACACATGAAAATCGATGGAGATATGTGAAAAGCGAGGGAATATGGTTAAACAAGAGGGAAATTTCTTAGGAATCATGTGTTAATACTAATGAACTCCCTCCTATCTCTATAATATAAAACATTTTTTTATAAGTCTTGTTTGATTCAAAACATATGGTATTAACTAACTTTTATAAATTTTTTCAACCATATTTCTGTAACATTCATTAGTCTTTTTTTAAAAAAATTGTTTATTGAAATTTCAATGTCACTGTTAAAACACTTAACATGTCTTATTTTATTATGACATGATTGGAGAAAAAAGAAGTACGATATTTATAAAATAAATTAAAATTTCAATTAATTTCTTTTAAAATCTGTGAAGTAGTTTTCAATGTCCCGGAAAGAGTAGGTAATAAAAGTGAAGAGAATGGAATAAGGGTTTGGGAAAAGGTGTGAGGTATGAGCCTATGAGGGAAGCCTTGAAATTAAAAGAAGGCAAAGGGCAAGGTGCTTGCAACACAAGTCAATGGTTGTTTGTCTTTTGAAACTTTGATGGGACTCTCTTTCTCACTTTCACGGGCCACAGTTCTCATCCTTCGTCTTGTTCTTGTTTATGTTTCACCTTTTTTTTTTTGTGTCTCCGTCCCGTTCCACACAGGCCTTAGAACCAGGGGAAAAAAAAGGCAAGGGGAAGGTGCGTAGAAGGAGAGGT